AACGTTGTTTAAATAAATTACCGCCGGACGAACGATCCCCGTATTTTAACGACGCGAACGATTCAAAGCATTTTTAGTAATCGAAAAAACAAAAATAACGGACATACTTCGCACTTGAGTGCAGCCACTGTTGTAGGTGAGAAATTGGAAAGGTAGGAAAACATAGAAGGACAATTTAATATGTGTCTATGAGCAACGATAAACCGTTGTTAACGAAAAAGCGATTCCGAGCGGAGTTCAATCGATATTGATGCTTTGTCCACTTTGCATACGTCCATACTATGGTAAAACAATTACATACGTTTTTAAATAATATTTGTTTGATATTGTACCGATTTTCCCGGTTTTTTCTCATATTTTTCGTCGGTTTTTCACATTTGCTAGGAAACCTCTTGGGAAAATCAAAAAAATGACTCCCTCAGAACACCTTTAGCGGTAAGATTTTATTTCAGAAAAAGCGCTATAATTGTAAATCGGAGAGCGAAACCGCTGGTAGAAAAAGTGTTCACAAAATAAAAAAGAAACCCCCTTTGTAAAACCAATACACTGTTCGCCACACTCAGAATTCAAAATAAAACTAATAATAACTCAATAAAACTAATAGCGACTTCGATACACTGTCGGAATATGAAAAAAAAAAAAAATAAAATAAAAAAATAGCCGAGTTATGGACGTGTCTTTGGACAATCGACATTAACATAATTACACCGACAACGTATTTTATAAAACTAGTTTTCGACCCGCGGCAGCAACTATGATATGCCACACTAATTAACGCCATAAAATTGTTTACAGGAAACGTAATTAAACGCGGATGACGTAGCTGCGGCTGTCGAATGCGCCGCGTTCGTTAACGCAATAATATTATCGCGTTTTTACCATTTTTATTATCATTACGAGTTTGTCCGACGGTTCGCCCCGCATATACAAGCGAACGCTCGATTATGATTTCCTAACCACAGATATTGGACATTACGGAACGCGGTCACTAGAGTCACAGTTTTCCACTCGGCCGATTCGTCGGCGTTACAATAATAATTCGTGTTTTTTTTTTTTTTAATTTAATAATAGGCCAACAGGTAAATTCTCGACATTCACCCGGACGGTAAAAACTCCCTTTTCCCGCGAAAACACGGTTAAGTTCATGTCTGCGTTCAACCGAAATTCGGTCACTTCAATCCGCTAAAAAAAAAAAAAAAATCCTGCGTTTGAGCTCTTCTGGTCTAGAAGGAGTGGCTAAACGTGTTCAAATGTACTCGGTAAAAGTTATAGTACAAAGCGACGGTCTTTATTTTCGGATAACTTTATGAGTTTTTTTTCGAATCCCGGTACGCCAAAAGTACATAATTTATCGATTTAACCGTCGTCAATATTAATGAATTAGCACTGATATGCAATGTCTGTTTAGACGTGTAACGCCGACAAATACAAAAGCGAATCAAGCTATCTCGATCCATTTCCCCGTCCAAATTGTTGTTATTCGTTTTCTCAATTTTTGAATAGCTCGATATTCCGATGGTTATCAAATTATGCAGTTCTTTGACATCTGGACCATATTGGTTTTTATTGGGTTTTTTTTTTTCAGAAAACGTACAAAATTATGCTACTAGAATGAACCGTACTGCGTATAAACAGTCACTGAACGCAATTCGAGTACTCGGTTTGGCGATTCGCTTTTGTGACTCGGCCGAGTACCGCGCTACAGTGTACGCCCGGCTTCAGTCCGTGCCGTTAGACGATTTACGGTCCGCAAAAACGATGGGACTTGTAGTGTAGCGGCGCGGTTTTCGTCTGTATCAGATGGCGCGATAGGTTTCCGAATCTTTGTTACGGACTCCGTCGTGGCGAAACGACGCGTTTTACCTACAACCGCCGCGGCGGTGACCGTAATATTATTGCGATCGCGTGACACCCGTCCGAAAAAAAAAAAAACAAAAACCTCCGACGACGGCCACGGGCGGTCATTTCGCGCGAGCACGACGAGTCGATAAGACGGATACCAGGCGGACGGCGGTGAGCGGTGCGGAAAGGGGTCTCCGTACACGACGACCGATGACCGCGCGGACGGTAATAAACGCGCGCGGGTTTCGCGACTCTGTGTGGCCCTCGGCCGGTCGCGACGGAGGCGGCCGTGGAGGAGATCGTCGGACGCAGATATTGGCCGAGTCCACGGCAATAACGGCGACTGCCGCGGCGTGTGACGGTGACCGTCGTGACCGTTGGCCGACTGATTGGGGCACCCGGCGACCCACCGCGACGGACCCGCCGAGACTCCGCGGCGGCCGGGCCTTCTTAGCGCACACCGGCCGCGTCCCGACCGCGGTAATCTCGGCGCATCGCCCGCCAGACGGCCACTAATTAAAATATCTCGCGACCCGGGCACGCGTCCGCGCCCGCAATCGCACCGGTACGCCCGATGAACGCGCGCCTCGTGTGGCCGAGAGCGGAGCGTCGTCGCCGGCCCGCTCGGGTGCTCGGGGCGCGCGCGCGCGCAATTATCGCTCGGCAAGGGAACGCGTACGGGCGAACCAGAGGAACGCGACGTTGCCGGAACGTACCGCGATTTCGCAGGCGTGTGAATTTTTTTTCACCAGTATCGTTATATTTTCGTGCCTATTGAACGACACGCGCCCAAGACCTACGTTTCGTCTTTTGGCGGAACACAGAGAATAACAGAATGATTCGGCGGGGCGTGTACCGGAGAGCAGACGGAAAAATAATTACACGAGTAACAGGCGGAAGGACTGCGGGCAAAAGATCTCTAGGAAGCACCAGAACACGGTAGACGCGCGCGGCGGAAAACCATTTAGATATGGTTAACGAAAACATGTCAGGAACCGATGGAATGAAGTTTTGACGGCAGCTAGATGGAACGGCAACGGGACTTTATGACCCGCTAAGCTGTTCAAAAAGAAGAAATTACTATTTCGATTGCATCGTTTAATCCGCGGCTATCTGCGGGTATCGAAATTCTTATAAAAAAAAAAATAAAAAATATTACATTAAACTCAAATTTGTCTCGTTGATCACAAGACACGACTTATAATGAACGTTCTGTTACATTTTCAAGCATTTCTGTTTGGTCCGACGATTTTATCCACAGGCTACAGAATACCTACCAAAAATAGCTGACATTTTAATTTTCAAAAAAATAGCTCGAATTTTATGAAAATTCGACCGCGTCTATACCAGGTAAATATAGAGTTTCGTAAAAATTTCAAGTATTCAAACAAACAAAATTGAAAATAATAAAAGCACTATTTTCGTAAATTTTCCCGTTTTCCGAACGTGTTTTCCTAAGGTGCTGTATGTGATACAGCATTGGAGCAAGATTTCTGGTAGAATATTCGTACACAGTATAAAAAAGAATAAACATCTTTTTAAAACCAATACACTCGGAAACTAAAAGCCGTGCACATTAATTATAGAATCGCACTTGGACTCGAGTACGGTTCCTTTACTTATTCCACACCGCCGCCCGGTCCCTAACTGGCCCTCCGAATGTTACCCTTACCGAGGATACCAGCAATACCGTTCGTTTATATTGCGTGTTTGAATATAATGCATACAACATATATGTGTATACGAGTGTGTTATTGTGTGTTTGTGTATCGCGTGCGCGCGAAGAAGAAATACGCGGCCGCCGTAAGCCTCGCCGGCAAACGGTTTTCTATACGCGGCTAATCCGGACGAAAAGTAATTGGCTCGAGTCCGGATTATTGGGTTTTTTTTTTTTTATTTTTACCCGAGGGGGTAAAAAACATCGTCTCCGGCCGCGCGATATCCCCAATTATAATACGCGTTTGACCTCCGAGCGAAAATATATCCCTCGCCGTACAAAACCGCTATAATATAGTGTTCGATTTTTTTTTTCCTCTTCCCGTGGTATTATACACACTATAATGCCACGATAATTTATTCGCTTATTTTTTTATGTTTCGTCGGGCAGGTATATCAAAAACACAATGATTAACAACACCAATTATTTCTTTTCGACGTGTTATCTCTAATAGAAATATTGTGTTTTGACGTTCGTTACGGGAGATAATGTATTGCCTTTTTTTTTTTATTATAATTCGAATAGAAAATTATCCTTACACAAACCAATGGAAACATGCGCAGTACGCTTGGCCTATGGACGAGACACCGTTCGTTTAGAATTCGCACGCCGCGGGAAAAGTGCAAAAATGTCGCACGAGAAAAATACCAATAATTTTGTAAAAACTGGCGAACACTCGGTAGACGCCGTCGTAGCCGTCGGTAACTACAGACTACCGGGCATGGACGTGCGATAAGATAAAATGCGATAGGTTAGGTTAGATTTTTTTCGCCCGCGTAGACGCGGATTGTGGATTATGAATCACGCTAATCGCGATTAGACCCGTCTCGGAGTTTCTCGCCGTCATCGACGGGTGTCGGTCCGTTTGTTTTCTACCGCGAATCCGAATTAGACGTACTAGACAACGGCGTTTAGAGGGCGTATAAAGCCGGGTTCCCACGAACGCGGGTGTTCGTCGACTTTTCCCTATTCGTGGACACTCGTTGTGCGCGTGGGAACGGAGCGCACGGCATTACACGGACGTTCGGTGGGACGAATTCGGTATCCGGTACGCCCGCCGTGTCCGTAAATTCGCCAGCACCGTCGGCAACGTTAACGCGAGCCAATGAGACGCGCGCCGCCACGGTAAAAACACAACGGAACGTGCTCGTCGGCTCGTTCCCGCGACGACCGCGCGCCGTTTGGCCATCGGAGATTCTCGGCTCCGGGGTGCCGTCGAACGGTGTAAATCGCCGCGGGCCAACGACAACTATCGCGTTCGCGGCGAGTACGGACGGTAGCGAATCGTTGGAACGGCGCCCGCGCGTAAACTGACGGTCGTGTCCGACGTTCGCGTGTATGGTCGTCGAGCGCGCGCGGCACTCGACGTTAGGAGCCCGGTTCGATTGTGCGTGCGTTAAAATTCCGCCGCGACAATAGCCGTAAGGTCGCCGGTGTCGGTATGCGCGCCGCCGGAGCTGCGACGACATTTCAACGAGCTTTTACCGCCGCGGGGAAAATTCGACGAAAACGGACCGACCGCAAACGTGTGCCGTTGCGGTTCGACGCGGTACCGTGCGTTGTTCCCGCATCGGCGTTCTCACATTTACGTTTGCACGAGCACACGTAAGGATATTTTTTTATACGTACGGACGTCGACGAAGTCGGAGATAGGGGGGGGGGAGAGAGAGAGAACGGAAGTGGCGAGGGGAAAGAGGAATATATATATACAGTTTGGCATAAAAATTTACTGTACCGAGGGTTATAATAATATAACGGAGAAAATCCCGGAATCCCCGGGCCGCCGCCGCCGCCGGAGGGACGTGATATTGCCGTTTAAAAAAAATTACTTTAATTTTAAAACTGCGACCGCGAAACCCGACGGCGGAGGAGGACGAAAGTCACTTATCTTATAAGAGGGCCTGTTATTTATTGACGGGCACAACCCCTATTGTGAGTGCGCACGTGTGTGTGTGCGTGGGTGTGTGAGCGTAAACGAGTGTGTCGCTGCGGGCCGCACAGGGGTGAAGGTTACTGTATATATACTATTGCTCTACTCGTGACTTGTGAGGATGGGGGGGGGGGTGAAGAGAAACGGAAATTCGTATGGAGGAAAAAAAACCGAGAGCGAGACGAGGAGAGCGAGAAATATTGTAAACATTCGAGTCACCCACCCCTCGCCCGCGAGCAAACGGGCAATGGGTATATCGGTTAAAAGGGATTAAATTAAACGAGCAATATCGTCGCGGCGGCGGTTTTGTCAAACGACAAAAACGATGACCGTAAATCGACGGCGCCGTATTGCTGAAATTATGGAATTGATAGTTAATGGTTTTTACGATGACTTTAAACCGCCACTATACAATACTATTATACTGCAGAATGTGCGCGAGCGAGGGCTTCCCGGGCCCCCATATACATATATATGTATATGGGCGAAATTAAAAAAAAAAAAATATTTCAAATATCCGACGAGCCGGGTCGTCTCGATTTTTTACGATCGTAAAAACGGTTTTGCACATCGGTGGCCCGAGTTCGTCTGCGATGAAATTAATACATTCCTCGTTCCCCGTCATGCGCGCGCTCGGAAAACCTGAAAATTCAGAAAACCAAAACGCCGGACTATTTCTCTGGAAATATTCGACACGTCACTGACGGGAAAACGCCGAAACGCGAAATTCCTGATACCCGAACCGGCGCGCTCTGTTAATCACTCGCGTGGTGCGTCATCGCACGGTTATTTGCGTCGAATCGCATCGTTATCTCATTTTTTTTTTTTCACTTTCGTTTAAAATCGTTCGTGTTTTATTCGCGCGTTCAACAATAATAAACGGTTAACAATTTTTATTTAAAAAAATGAGACGTTCAGGATGACGATATAGATGGGACAGGTTGAAAAAGTAAGATTGTCCAAATTTTAGTTTCTGAACAAAGCGAGAAATATATTGGTTTGGTGACGATGTGTGCAGCAATTCTATTTGTTACTGAAATTCTATCAGAAGTATTGCGTCCGTCAAAAACCGAATGGAAAGTTCTTTTGTAACAATTTTAAATTTTATTGGTGCATTAGGGAGGTTTTTTTTTTTTAACTTTCCTCGCAGTTTTATTGACAATAGACAGACGCCTAGGTGATAAACGTATTGGAAAATTGAGAAAGTATACTTACATCATGCAATAACTGTCTCACTATATTTTCGTTTTTAATTTAAATCGGTTAAAAAAAAATCAATGTATCTGATACCGAGTTCCTATCTAGATAATTATGTTAGAGTATCTATATAAAACATCTACAAAACACTGTCAATTTTTAAACTCTTTATTAAAGCATTTGAAATTATCTGGGTTATTTTTTTTTTTACTTTTCATTTGGTTTTACGAGGATGGTTTAATTTGACGGAACGGAAATTCAAGAAAATTATACACGAGACACGTTATAACGTGCAGTGTTTAATTGTGAAAAAAAAAAAAATTGAGCCTAATGTTGTAGTTTTATATTTGTACATAATTATATTATTATAATCGTTCTAAGTTCAAATTTTGATGAAAGTCGTATAAATTACGGCATATTTGAAACACGTATAACCGGACTTTATTATTGTGTTTTTTCGATTTTTGAAATTCACCTAAACCGTTTCATCGTTTGTCGGTATATAATGGTATACAAAAAGGAAAAAAAATAAAAAAGGATCGATGATGGACGACGAGAGTCGAAGGTATAGGATTTTCTGAGCGTTTACTTTGCGAATCGTGTTTTCGGGCCAATAATTTCGCCAACAGTATTGCACTGTAATGTACGTCCGGTTATTATGATATTATTATGACGTACACGGCGAGGGAATTACGTCGACAACGTTTCGTCCGAACAACCGTATCGCCGTGTGTAGTGAACAAAAAGAAAACATAAAAAAAAAAAAAAAAAATCGACCGATCTAAGTCGTGAATCTAACGACCCGTGCCGTGGCGGCCGCGCGCGTACCCTAATAACGACACGGTCGTATATACGCACTACTCCCCTCGCCGCGCGGCCGCCGTCTTATTTCCCGACGCGGTTATACACATCATATTATTATTATTATTGTACACGCACGGACTGGAAAAAAAAAAAAAAAAAAAAAAAAAAAAAGGAGGGCACGTCGATTACACAATATCTAATAAGACGTCGAATGGCCGTGGGTACCATAATACGGGCCGACGACATTTTATATAATATTATTAATATACATGTATTCTATCTGCTTTACCTGTATCTATGCGTGCGTATGTATGCGTCTTAATTTCGTCCGAGCCGGTAAGAGAGAAAGATCCGTATCTGTACAGCGATAATTTATTGGAGTTGAAAATGCATTATTCATACTTATCGGGGAGGGGGGACGGGGAGAGGGTTCGTTCGGTACAAATAACGTGTACGCATAATGTCATTATTAATAATAGATAAGGACATCGACAAAACACCGCGACCGTTGAAAACCGAGAATAAATTCGTGAATCTAAAAAAACCGAAATCGTATATCACATTAATACGTAGCGATTTACTATTAGTCATTTCAATAACTTTAAAACGGAAAAAAAAAAACCCCTCGAGACACCAGAGCCCCGTCACTGTAGAGCCGAATATTTGTTGACTCGTTGCCGGCACAATATTTGATTCGTTTGTTTTAGATTCTTAGTGGAGCGTAGAAGCTTATGGATTTACGATGATGTTTATTTTCCATGTACCACTTGTCCACCAGAAATCTCACTCCGATTTTTATGTGTAACACCTTTTCGGAAAGGAAATCTGACTGGAGAGTACTCTGAGGAGATCATTTTTTGATTTTCTCAAGAGTTTTCCCAATAACTGTGAAAAACTGGAGAAAAAACGACAAAATAGGTACAATATTAAAGAAATATTATCAAAGAAAATGTATAATGCATTTTATAATTATTTTACCACAATATGACACGCGTACTGTTTCCGAAGCAACACTGTCGAATAAACTCCGCTCAGAATCGGTTTTTCTTTAGCAGTCGTTGCCTACAGATAAACATTGAACCACCTATAACATTGGCTGCACCCGTCCCCGTTATCCTAGGACAGCTTTTCTTATACATATTTTACGTAATTGGCTAAATTAGTTCTAGCTGACAGAGTTGGTCAATACTTACGGATGTTAATAATATCGGATTATACCTACTTGATTGAATAACTAATTAAGTTTGTATTCACCCGTTGATCGCGTCCAACCGTATCCTATTTCACGACCAACTACTCCTTCTCTCTTTCAGATGCAACAATAGTATTCTTTAATCTCCCGGTAATGACAAGGAATCGAACTAAAGTAAAGTAGCTGTTGAGGTTTTACACTAACACAAACAAATGATGGAGCAAAGGGTTGACATTTCAAACCCCTTAAACGAACAGCCTCGATACTTACAACACGCATACCGTCTTCCTGACCTCATTTGGAGGCGGCCCGTAGTCCGTGGGTGTGTGCATAACTTAAAAATAAAACCTTCCACCCGCAACAAGACGGTGAAACTAATGTTGAAATTCGACCGAAATTTTATTACATCGACCCGCTAGTGAAGTTTCCTTTTAGATAAATTGCTATCATTAAAAGTCGGAGAAATTTGCTGGTAGAAAATTTGTGCACAGAGAAAAAGAAGGCCGTAATATATTTTAACTTATACCTACGTTTCGTATATATTTCCGTTTTTTTTTTCCTTTTTTTTCGGTTTTTGAGAAAACTCCTGAGAAAATCGAAAAATGACCTCTCTACGCCGATTTTCTTTCAGAAAAGGAGCTATACGTAAAAATCCGAGCATAAGTTGCGCATAGATAAAATTAAAAAAAAAAAAAAAACAACAAACATCTTTGTAAAACCATACGATTTTTCCCTCCGCTCAGAATCTAAAACCGAACATCAAAATGTACTCGAAATCTCTTCGCGTAGATTTCTAATCGTCGTCGGTTAGGTAAAACGATAAAATAATCACCCTGTATGCATATGTTCAGGGTCCGCATGCGGGCGATAACATCAGAGACCGGTGGTACGGGAGACAGATATACAAACACAATATACCACGAGTATATAGGAACCTAAAACGTTTCACGAAAACGTCATTCGATTGTTGTTGTAGGTACCTAAATTATAGTTACCTACCGATACTATTGTGTTGTGTCGAAAAAAAAAAAAAAAATGATTATCGATTTTGTATTGTATAAATTGTAATAGTTTACGGTGTCACGACCCTGCCCGGGTACATACGACACCGGATAATGGTTTTTTTTTTTTTTCTCTATCCTTTTTATTTATATCTCGAATATTCACTATCGCCGGCAATAGTATGATCGTGTTTTCATAACGATTCGTAACGCCATTAACTTTTTGCTGTGACGGTAAACCCCTTCCGGTTATGCGGCAGGTACAATACGCTCCTATACCCGACAAACAGTACAAATACTGCTCGGTACACGCAGACACTGTACGCGTCATATTATTATTCTCTCTACGGATTCGAGAACGGCCACTTCAACGGTTTGTTCGACTCATTGCGACGAAGTCGTTATAATATTATCTACACGGGTGGCCGTATTTTTTTTTTATTTTTTTTTTTTTTTGAGATGCACCTAACCGTCCATCCGTACGGAATGTAAGCATCAGTCATTTTTGTTTTGTAATTTTTCCCCGGCACGAAGTGTTAGCATATTATTATTATTATTATTTCACTCTCGTTGATAAATATTGTATAGAGTGTTATTTTTTTGCAACGTTTAATCGCACGAAAACGAACCGACTTCGATCCGTCACGACAAACGTCGAACGCTATACGTTTTTAAGTAGACGCGAGTATTTGTTTGATAATAAGTGTCGGTCAAAAGTAAACAGCTGACTCTATGCGTGCGTACAGATAGAAAGACAATATTATAGTATTATAATAATGTGATATACAGATATAGAAGCGATCGGACGATCGACGTTCACGAAAAGGATCTAGGGAATGCGGGACTGGTAGACTAGAGAGACGTGGCCCGCGAGACAGGGTTAGATGGCGCGGCGTTGTTTTTGCCGAAAAAACGCGTGGAGAACTGTGATGACCAGACGAAGAAGTAGACAAAATCGGACCTCGATTTCGGAATATTACGAAAAAATATTAAAAATCGAATACATCGAATAGGTAGGCGAAAACCGCGAATCGTACCGTTGAAAACGATTTACGAGTGTACGGCGCAACACATTTTTTTTATGTGTAAACAAAAGAGTACGGTGAGCTAAAAATTTAAATTAGCTTTGTTTTATTGGAATGTTTAATGTGGACTATATTAAGAATAACCGTTTTTTATTATCGAATATTCGAATCTATTGTACCGAGTAAATAGTAGTAATTTTTAATATTGTTTTCTATAGAGTTGTATGCACAATTCCACCTAGTGTCACATAATAGTTGCCGTTCTTGATGACAATATTTTCAATAAAGTCGAAAATATGTACCGAGTTCAACAACTTATATTTTCATGAAAAAAAAATCAGCCGTTACGCGACGACACGGATTGTGAATGTTATTATATTAATTTTAACGACAGAAATAATTTTCCCTTACAATATGATCTCGTTTAAGATTATTATTATTACTTGTTTAAAAACGTAGAAATTCTTGCCGTGTAATATAATAATGTCCTCGTTCGAGATTTCCAAAGGAGATAAAATGACCCCGGTAGTGTTTCAGCTGCTACAACAGTGTGATTGATGACTAATGATACCGATCGGGTTTTTTTTTTTTTTTATTCATATCTAATCCAAAACTATATATTTTAATAAACATTGCCAATAGAAAAACACTATTTCATAAAAAATTACATAACTTGTACTTAAATAATTATTTAAATTATTTAAAATTTACATATTGCAAATTGTGTAGAAGAAAATTCGCCCCGAATCGTATCTCGTTGGTATTGGTTTATCGTTACGTACAGATATAAATCACCTACAATATTTATGTCTATATCTTTCTTACTTCTCACTTCTCACCTGCAACAGTAACCCACCCATAGTACGAAGTATGTCGGTCTTTTCTCTTCTATGCATATTGTGTTTTATTTTTTTTAACAGCCAAATGTAGTTATTGACCCAATCAAATAAGTATCTGTTGTTAATATTATGGTACTAGCCTATTATAGTACTACCTGCAAGAACCCAGGATACAACTCGTAAGCAACCCGCATAAACCCGGAACCCCGACTATACGAATATTGCTAGTGTTTTTCTCAACATTTTTGATCGGTGGAACTCAACTTGGACGCGCCGGTTTTCACTCCCTCGGGTAAAATCTCGGGAAACGTAGTTGTTATATATCATATTAGGCGGATAAAAGTTGTACAGCATTTCGATGTGAATTTTACTGTGTTTTTTTCTGCGGTGAATATGGATTTTTAGCATTGACCCCTCGTATCAACCGCTACAAGGAATAAGGTCGTACCTCGATTCAGATCGTATATTCAAGGTCGTATGTTTTTTCAGCGTCGCCCGCGAAGGTCATATCTCTAATCGTCAGAGAAATTACATTGGAAGTTTGGAAAAAGTAGATGCGACCTTACGGCCCAGGTGATATGAAGCCAGGGAAGCCATCGAGGACGTACCGTTTGAAGGTTTCAACCGACCCCCCCCCCACCCCATAAACGACTCTCGCCCTTAGCGATTTTATGTTTAAATTTCACAATTTTTCAAAGGCAATAAAGTTATTGTGTAGCATAATACTTGAATACGATTACACGAACAGCGTTCGGTTATTACTTATTAATCGCGTGTTACAAACAAATGTCTATAATACGAAATAGACGGGTGAATGGAGGGGGGAATTCGACTCTATATTGTGACGGAACTCTGTCGCTCACCGGCGTATATTTCTCCGATCTGTTGCAGTTGATAATAATTTAAAACCTCGATTTTCCGATAAAATGACAGGATACACAACCTCCGAGTATACTTCTATAATATCACAATAATAATATGATAATATTATTTATAACATGTCTACTACGTCGTTTAGGCGTGAGTTATATAACGAAATTCAATCATTTCACAACGATTTTATACACGTGTCCATAATATAACTATAAACTTTTATAAGAAAAAAAAAATAATAATAAATACTTACTCGTCTGCATTTACACGGATTGCGATAAAAAAAAAAAATAATAATAAAAAAAAAATGTCGAATAATTTTAAATATTTAAACGTTAAACGATATTAAAATATTATTTTCATTGCCACGACAATAAAAACTCGACAACAATGTGAACTTATCGGGTTCATTCAGTTCCTAGTGACACGACTACTTTACACTCGTACCCATATGGTAAATCATACGTATTAAAACAAATTTTCTTTCAAAACAGTTTTTAATAATCTTCTATATAAACAATAATCGTTTCCTTTTGTTGGTTTTTTCTAAAACAATAATATCACGAATAACTAAAACGCTCAAAACCACGAACCGAGACGGACTCGTCAATATAAAATTATTAACTATTAGAACGAAACCAGCATCATAAAAACACAAAAGAAAAAAATTTAACAAAAACATTAACTTGGTAAGTTAATGCTATTTTAAATACACATAGTACGCAATTCTCGATTTCACGCCTTGAACGTAACTACGATAATAATTTTGCGTTTGCTGTACGTAGTCGTGGAAGCCGACCCGGTGGACACCGACTTCTTTATTTGCCACGGAATGATTAATGAACATTAATTTACATATCAAATATTCCTCGATACCATACAACAGATCAATTAGAAAAACTCGTGTGTGAATAAATACAACACTGCGAGACGTGCGGTTTTAATGGATTAAAAATACAGTTGTTTCTACTGCTGCTGCTACCGCTGCCGTGCGTGTACGATTTCTCACGGTTGTTTGAGCGGTAAATTTTTTAAAAAAAATCGCGTCTGTCATGTAGGTACTGGTACTTCCATCTATTTAAATGGACCGCGGACCAATTTCTCAACACTTTTGTATAGACAGAACCGGAATAAACGAGAGTATAAACAAATGCACCCTTCATCCCCCCCCCCAAAAAAAAAAATGTAACTCTTGCAAAACTTGATTTATAAATGCAATAAACACCATTAACAATTATATTTAAAGAATACATATTTATCTTCTTCTCGTCGTCTAATATTCTGATCGGTTTGCTGCAGATCTCGCAGCATACGTATCTCTTTTTCGCTGCTTTTATGCCCGCCGTGTCTATAATAATAATTTTGGTTTCATCTACTACATTCATGGTCTGCCATTTCCAAATAACCTTCGTCAAATGGCAATTTTCGCCAAACTATCGTTAATGTGCAGTGTATTTAAATTCTTGCGAACTACACGGGATATTTTTGACCCGGTCAGCAGTTTCTGTGTTTAAGTTTAGGAAAGTTGACCCTATTGAAAAAAAATCTTCAGTAATTGTCATAATTTGTACTTGTAAATTCTTGAAAATTACTCGCTAACTTTGTACATAGTTTTAGAAATCTTTGAATAAAGTCGAGGGGCCGAATTTATGAACGTAGTGTATTTAGATCATTTCGTCTATTTCACAGGGGATTTAGAAATATTTTTACCGTCATCGTAAATTGTCTACTATTTTCTATTTTCGGAAAATCACAGTCCTCGCTGATGCGGAATGGATCAGCCGCGGGCCGCTCATTAGCATTCCGTTCTGGCTAATGGTTGTAGACGCGACGACACGAAAATCGTAAAAAAATATTGTAATATTGCAATAATATGCAATTATCGAAACTCGCTGCGATGCGTAATGCGTTCTACGCTTTGTCGTGCTCACAATACGTAACGTAAATAGAGGTGGGAGGGGGG